GAAGATGATAATATTTCTTGTACATTCTGGGTTATGTCCCGGACAAAAAATCGGCCACGGACCAACCGACCACCAGCTGGCTTCAGTATACACCCTCAAACTTCGTTTGTCGGGGATATAATTAAATGTTTTTTAAGATTTAACATATCAATAGAGATAAATTAAGTATGGAAAGATTTCGTTGGCATCTATCACTGTTTGAAGTTCCAATGAAAGTCATTCAAAAATTTTGAAGGTGTTCTCTGGACAAACATTATTCAGTATTATAAAGGCAGATATTACATAAACTAAGCAAAGTAGGGTTATGGAACTTTAATCACATCTTTCCTCTTTCTAGTATCTACAACTGTGTATATTTTCAATGATATGTCTCGATAACTTTGAAGTTTTACTCCGAAGAAGCATATCAATTGGAGAGAGATAATGCTATGGGCAAAAAGTGGAAGGAAAAACGAAAACATAAAAACTAAGAAAGCAACGACTCAGATAATGATGTTATTTGTATGCACTGCACTCCTCTTAAATGAGATTTTTCAACCGGTGATACTTCGAATACTTGCCAAATAAACGTAGTTTTGACAAAAAGTAAGCATGAAAATAACATACGCAAAATAATAACGACATGCACTCAGGAAATTTCAGTTTTATATCTCAAATAGTTTTTAGTTAAAGTATATTCCTGACGAGTAGTAACTAAGAACATGAACAGTAGGTTCACTGAACTCCTCCCGAATAAAGTATACTTATGTAGTTTCAAGATGATATCTTCAAAACTTTGGCGCTATCTTTAACAACTTTCCAGTTGATTTCTCAAGTGTTTTTTTTCGGGTCTTGCTCCGGACAAATAAGCAGGACGGACGGAACTGTAGAGGATGGGTAATATCGCCATATTCCCGCTAGCTTTTTCGGCGGGGAATAACAATCGGGAGATAACAATAACAATGGGCGATCAAGACGTTTGAAGACTAACACTAAAAATGATAAAGAAATCTGTTACTACCATGTTATCATATAAATCTTTTTGCACATTATTTAAATACATTCAACAGTCACAAGAGGGCCAAGACGGCCGTTGATCGGTCACCTGACTCATTGAACACTCCGAACTATTAAGTAGACAAGCATCCTGACAAAGGTTGATGACAATAGTGTCAAAAATGTTAACACGGTTTTCCATATTTGGGCAGTGTGACCTAGTGTTTGACCCCAGGTGACCCATATTCGAACTTGACCTAGAAATCATCAAACCAGATGGCCATGATGGCCCTGAAATCGCTCACCTGTATATAGGCCCCCGGGGCGGGGTCAATTTTAACCCAGGGGCTTTCATTTGAACAAAGTTGGTAGTCACTCATTTGAAGATGTTTCATGATAAATGTCGAAGCTCTAGCTCTAAGAAGATTTTTTAGTTTTTACTATACACATATATTGAAAAACAATGATTCCCCCCCCCCCTCAGGGCGGGACCAATTTTGTTCCCAGGGCTTTTATTTGAACAAACTTGGTAGACACTCACTGAAAGATACTTCATGTTTAATATCTAAACTCTACCTCTTTGGGTTTTTTAACAGAAGATTTTTTAAAGTTTTTACTATATGTATATAGGGAAAATCAATGATCCCCGGGGCGGTGCCAATTTTAACCCCAGGGCCCTTATTTGAACAAAAATGGTAGACACCAATTAGCAGATTTTTCATGTTTTATATCCTAGCTCTAGCTCTAAAGGTTTTTTAAAAGAAGATTTTTAAGTTTTTAATTTATACATAAAGGGAAAACAATGACCCCCTGGGGTGGGGCAAATTTTGACCCCAGGGCTTTTATTTGAACAAACTTGATAAACAACCACTAGAAGATGTTTCATGCTTAATGGCTAAGCTCTTGCTATTTAAGTTTTTTAAAAGAAGATTTCTTAAGTTTTTACTTTATGCGTGTACTGTAAAATACAAATAAGGATAATCAATGGCCCCCGGCCGGGCGGGGCCAATTTTGACAACAGGGCATTTATTTCAAAAAACTTGGTAGACGCTGACTAGTTAATGTTTCATGCCAAATATTTAAGCTCTAGTTCTTACGGATTTCCGAAAGAAGATATTTTAAGTTTTTTCTTTCTGTTGCCATAGCATCCAGAGTTCTGCTTGGAATTAAATTCCTTGAACAATTTTTAAAGTTGACTACCAAAGGAACATTCCTGTGAAGTTTGGATGAAATTGGCTTAGTGGTTTATGAGGAGAGGTCGTTTAAATTAAAAGTTTACGGACGGACGCCGGACGAAAAGCGATCACAAAAGCTTACCATGTCACTTTGTGACAGGTGAGCTAAAAACGTGCACACCAATTCCCAGGATATTTTGATAACAATAGTAGCCACTAAAGAGTTAACAATGTTTTCTATTTTAAGATTGTGTGACTTAGTTTTTCACCAGAGATTACCCATGTCCCAACTCCTCTGAATAATTGATAAACAAGCATCATGAACAAAATTGATAACAATTGAGTCAAAATGTGACCACTAGAGTGTTAGCAAAGTTTTCCATATTTCTGAAGTGTGACCTTGTTTTTGACCCCAGGTGACCCATATTCGAACTTGACAAAACAAACTTTCAGACCATTTTTAAGGATATTTGGATCAAAACAATAGCCACTAGAGTGTTGACAAGTTTTATTGATTTTAGCTCCTGTGACCTAGTTTTTAATCCAAAATGACCCATGTTCAAACTCGTCCAAGCAATAACCTGGACAAGAAACATAACAAAGGTTGTTGATGATTGATGCAAAAATGTAAACACTACAGTGTAAACAAGGTTTTTCCATATTTGGGCAGTTTTTGACCACAGGTACACATATTCGAACTTGACCTAGAAATCACCAAAACAACTTTCAGGCCAATTTCCAGGATATTTAGATCAATACAGAAGCCACTCTAAAATAGAGTGTTGACAAGCTTTTCCTATTTCTAGTTCCTGTGACCTAGGTTTTCACCAGAGATTAACCATGTTCGAACTCATCCAAGAAATTAACTAGATTAGCCCCCTGATTAAGTTTGATGACATTTGAGTCAAAAATGTGACCACTATAGTGTTAAAAACGTTTTTCCATATTTGGGCAGTGTGACGTAGTTTTTGACCCCAGGTGACCCATATTCAAACTTGACAAAACAAACTTTCAGACCAATTTCAAAGATATTTAGATAAAATAGTACCCACTAGAGTTTTAACAGTATTCTCCTATGACCTAGTTTTTCATCTAAAATTACCCATGTTCGAAATCATCCGAGCAATTACCTAGCCGAGCATCCTGACAAAGTTTGATGATGATTGAGGCACATTTGTGACCACTAAAGTGTTGACGAACAAATATGGACGGACGACAGACAACAGACGATGGTCGACGGACATTCAACGACCCTAAAAGCTCACCCTGAGATAGTTCAGATGAGCTTACAAGCTATTGCTAATAATTAAAAAAGTTTGGTGATCCCGGAGCAAATATAGTCTTAAACAAAGGACGTCATAATTACATCAGAAATGCATGCGCACTTTGGAGATGAATGAACGATGTATGTCTCGATAACCATTTTGTGTATGTATCGCTAAACCAGTCACTGTCTTATGACGAAACAACAATTCGCTAATACAAACGCAGCTCGTTGGCGTTCCCGAGCCGCATCAATCGTATATTGCTTTGATGTCCGGGAAACTTCAAATTCTAAAGAACCTAAATATGAACTGTACGGTTGATTTTTTATACAAATAAAGAGATTGTGTAGCAATTATCTATATTTTCTAATAACAAATTTGACCATAGTATATCTTTAAGGGAATGCCTCCAAACATGCTGATAATCAATTCAAGAAGTAGAAAAATGGTTGTTTTTATATGCTCAAGGGTTGCTGATGCGCGTTTACTGAGAGAAATTATTTAAATTTCTATTTTGTGCAAATGTATGCTTGTGAAAAAGGCTAATCAACTTTTATTTAAAGTTTCATATTAATGCGACAAACAAGAAAAGCATTGATGCAAGCATTAAAGGGTGTCCAAGGAAGAAAAACAGCAAGTGAAGATGAACTAGTAGACATATAATGACAAGAAATTCTTATAAACTTTTCAATGGTTAATTGGTTTTTACCGGAAGTGTATATCATTTATGAATGGGTGGATTCATTATTAACTTTGGTAGGCATGCTAGAGATTAGAATTTTACTAGTTATTTTTTCCACATGAACTTGAAATTTTATCAATATTGTCGATAATATCCAAAATATACCGATCAACGATATCCAAAATATACTCCCCATATGGTATAAGTTTATTTATACTATATAGGGGGTATTTTTGGATATTATCATTAATATTGGTGATTTGATGGAATTTCAAGTTCGTTTGACATTTCTTTGGAACATAGAAATTAGCAGTCAAAATCAATAGGGAAATCAGGGTCGATTTTAGAAAAAGAGACTTGAACAGCAAATAGGTTTTATAGAATACTACAGCTTAAACTAAAACTGCTTCTATAAATAGATTTGCTGACTTTCACAATGTTAAGGTCATCATTCTATTTATAGCTTTCGGATACATGTACAACAATAACATACATAATAACCCACAGTGTACTACAAAATGATTAATAAAAAAAACCCGAAGAGCGCGATTAATTTACAGAAAAAGACTATTTCATTTGAATATGTTTGCATTGCGAAATTCTCAAGTTCGCTATTTATTGTACATATCGCGACATTTCATTTTTAATAATCAAACACCCTCATACAAACCGGAATGGTCGTCTATTATGCCAGACTTAAAGGCCCGAGAAGTTGCCATTGCCCTTTCACAAAATCTGATTTCATTCCATAAGGGGCGTCGCGCTTCGGCGCGGACGCCAATAATAATGACGCTGTATGAAATTCCTATGAACTTTCCGATCACCCCTCTTACTCGTATTATGACTGTTTTTTTATTGATAACTAGATATTCTTACGCTTTTAAATCAGAAAAAATATACAACCTGGCGGTTTCTCCATTGTCACAACAATAACATTGTCGTCCTCTTCACTAAAAGCAATTTGTAACACTTTTATTCCTGTTTTTGCCTCTAAGAAATTGAAAATACTGTCCTTTGTAGTTGTCAAAGCGATTCCTTTTACCAAAACCTTTGTATCGTAATAAGGTGGTGATTTATAGATACGTGTTTTGATAGTTTGTCCCTCGACTTCGTGACTTCTTCCAGCAACACACTCAGCAACTTATGTGCATAATGGTAATAACTATACATGGTCAATGGTGTTTATTGTTAACATAATCATAATTTTTTTGAAAAAATAGTGACATGAATTAAGCTGTGTATAATTTCTATAAATGTCCTTCTATTTTAATATCAGTTGAATACAGAAGTCGTTATCGAAGTGTTGTTTATGTTTTAATCTACTGTTGTTGTTGTTGTTGTTGTTGTTTGTTGTTTTTTATGGTATTTCAATTTATTTTAAGGCATACTTACAATTTACGAAATTTACAAAAAGATGTGCGAAATTATGATAACTGCAAGAAACATTTTAAATATGAACTTATCTTTACCTACCTTCTTTTTCAGAAAACTGAATGTAAATCACGTCTTCATCTTCTTGATCAGCTTCAATAGCTGCAATGCTTCCGCCACCGGATGCCAATTTATTTTCGAAATAATACTTGAGTGTTTCTCTTGCCACCCTTCTAATACCAGATACCCTTATCATGTTTGAAGGGACTTCATCCTCTTCGTGTTTATTATTACGAACTAATGACAGTTGTATTCCCTTCCAAACTTGTGAGTGGTCCTTAAGTAAAACTCTCTCAGCAACTTGTTTTAAACAAAAAGACGACACACTTAGTTTAGTTACATATATTTATATAGTCAGATATATTCTAGCTCTGAAAAACAAGTTTTGAGGCCAAATGATTATTGATGTATAGGAAAGGAAGCAACATTACTTTGCATTGATTATCTTATGATCTTTGCCATTTTGCATGAAATTTCGTTTTATATTTAAAAAAAAACACTACGTCCATTTAGATTCATTGTATATCATGTAAATAAATATAGTCATTGCTTTTGTACCTTAATAATCCTTTATAAAAAACAAACTTATTTCAAAAAGTGCCAATAAAAATACTAAGATATATATTATTACTATGAAGTAATCGTTTTTTCTGCGCCTTACCTGTCCCACTTTCAAATGTAAAGTATGCCTTGTTTGAATTTGGTTCAGCATAATATTCAACAATTTTCCCTCCTCTTGACTTATGACTGTTATTGAAGTACTGAAATAGTTTGGCAAGATGGTCTTCAATGTTTGGAATTCCTGTGACCTCTATTGAACATAAACTGCTGCATTGTTCCACGTAATATTTAATTTCAATTTCTTTTCCTTTTATCGTAATTGGCTTCCTCGTCAGCATGAAGGAAACAGCTGAAACAATCAAATGCATTGATCTATGATATCGTTATAACATTGCAAACTTCAAGAATAAAATAAGGAAATCACACTACAGAATATGAAGTAAGAAGCAAAGGGACCTATACAATAATAAACCTTGATAACTATGCTCATGCTTTTTTAAGAAAAGTAAATACAATCATATAACTTCTAACGGCACCTTAAAACTTTCCAAATTAGGAAATGTTGAAAGACTTAACATTATTCAAAACTGTCTCTGGTTATTGTTGGTAATATTAGTTATTAAATTACACTAGTATATCATTATATCGAACATCGCAATATTAATTGTCTTAAGCACAGATTGAACTGAACATTTATTTGTCGTATTTTAGGTTTACTTTTCATTTAACCTTTTAAAGCTATTCCAAGAAATTGGCAAAACTTGCCATAAAATTCATAAGATTGATGAAAAGTGCAAGGTATTTCATCCCTTTAACTTCAGTATAAGCAGTATTCTAGTTCAAAACTGTATTATATTGGAATTGAAATTGTTTTTAAAACACCCAAAATAACACTTAGTCATGTTTCAATTCGTACAACCTTAACAACATAGTATCACAGTAGGATAGTGTGATAATTTTGGATTATTTACTTGTAAATACGCTGAAATTTATTTGTAAGATCACGTGTCTCTTTCGACACTGCTTCATGTATTTACGACAATTAACGCCGCAAGATTCCACAGTGAGATGTTTCTATCATAGTTAAATTCACACGCACTGAATAACAAAAGAATATTCATGATGAAGAAAGAATCACCCTGCCACATCGACATACCACATATATTTATTCTGCTACAATTTTCTTGATAAACCGACCTAAACCCTGTGATATCATAATAAGACGGCTTGTTACTTTTCAAACAACTGAACTATGAATTTTTCTAGTCAGTTAACAGAAACAAGTCTCAACAAACATTTTATGTAATTTTGTAATTATGATTACCGATGCAAAGAACTTCGGGTCTTAAGTTTTAATGCAAAATAACGTTAGTAATGTTAGTGATGGAGCGGGAGAAGATCTCCTGTCGGGCTTAGCCTCTTTATAAACAGTTTAACTTCTCACACCTGGCCAGATCGTAGAAGAACTCAGCGTACGATAAACCACCTGCAAAATGGTAAACACCGTCGTATACGGTAGTTGAAACGTTAAGAAAGGGCCTGCTATCAACCATCTACGTTTGAAGTAAGGATCGTGCAGAAATGGCGCACAATGTACAAAACTGATAAAAAAAACTTCACGTTCCGGAAAATATTATATCATTCCTGTCCAAATATGGACCATTTACAAGTTTTGTAAAGGACCATTTCGTCTGTCACGATTCATATAGACCACTTCCACGTTTAATAGCGTTTACATTGATTAATTACAACCTATTTCGTATCTTATCCGCAAGGTTGCTGCCACGGCAAATTTTTTTATTGTTAACTCTGGCCGGGCATCCACGACAAAATATTCACTGGTGTAGCCCTCGAAAATATAGTTTTAGCATATCCAGAATGAACATGTATGCAGAGATAAAAAGCTCCTAAAATTCCGGTAGCAATGAACAGAGAAGATAATTTACTGATTGTTTCTCAACTGGTATGATCTTACTACGTCGAGGGCCTTTGTGTGCTCAGACTGAAATGAAACTCTCCTATCTGACCGGCCTTTTTATACATATCTCAAGACCGCCTGCACCATGTCAAACCAAAGTAGAATTAATCGATAGTTTTTATTTACACCTGAATTATAATATCAACAAAATGGAAAACTAGTATGACAACAGCGGTACAACAGTCTTTATGCTTTGAAAAAAATGTATACTTTATAGTATCAAAATTAAAATATAGCTTTATTAGTTGCGTGCAGTTATCGTGTATGTATTAAAAATTCACCTTCGGGACAATCAAACTCTATAATTGCAGAAGCTTCTTTGGAATCCAATATAACGCTGACAACATTGAAGTCAAATGGCATTTCTTGTTGTTCAAAAAGCGTCTGTAAGTACATTTCTGTAATATCATCTGGTAGTTTTGAAACACGTATTTTTTTCGTTAAATCATGACTCATGTTGTCTTCCGTAAACAGAGAAACGTTCAAAGTATGTCGGTCAAACACATGATCTGTTTTGGCAGCAACCCGTTCAGCAACTACAATCAAAAACGATTAAAAATATTTGACATAAATGTGTAGCTACATATAATCAATTACCCCGTAAATGCGACGCATTTATTATTTAAAGATGCATGAAACATTATCTGTCTACACTCTTTTAGAGCTACATTGCTCTTTCATACTTCAAATTAAAAAAAGCTTATTATGCTGTTTGGGCGCGTTAAAACAAATGTTTGATATGATACAATATATTTAATTAAATCGCATGTAATCAAAATATAAACTATTAAATTAAAATTGCAAACAAATATAATTTGCTCCCATGATGTCTTACTGTCAATTAGTAGAAATAACAAACCTTCTTTACTTTGGTAAGTAAAATACGCTTCGTTTCTTTTTTGGTCTACCCATTTATTAACAATCTGTGAATTGCCTTTTGACCTCTTGCCTTTAAAGTACATTTCAAGAAGTTCAAGTTGTTCATCAATTCTTGGCAACCCAGAAACTGCTATTGTACATGAATTAACTTTCCTTGGTATGAATCGTTCCACTGATACTTCAACATCTTTCAAATGAAGTGTGCGTCTTTCACACAAAAGTTTTGCAACTGAAATGTTTAGTGAACTCGTATCAGATTTTTTTATATTTTTTTTTTCAGTAGAAACTATTTAGTACCATTTAAACAGAAAATGTACAACAATTGTTTAAACATATTTACCAAATACTTATATATTTATTTTATACCTTCAGGATTGTCCAATTCAATAATTGCAGAATCATTTCCAGGCCGAAGATCCACATTTACAACATTGAATTCTGCAATTTCTTCTGCCATATCTTGACCCTCGAGAAATACCTTCAGGTGCGTTTCTGTCACTTGTTTTGGTAAATTTTGAAGTTTTATTTCAGTAAAGAACTCTTGATCTTGTTCATTTGAAGTATCTTTTCTCATCGTTTCGGTACATAAACGAACGTTCAACTTTTGTTTTCCCAATCTGTGTTGCCCCTTTTGGACTACGTTTTTTGCAACTAAAATTTAAATATTAAATATTTACACTATGTATATATATAGACAGTGTTGCTCGTAATGTTTTATTACAATGCCTAGAACATTTTTCAATTTTATCCCGACTACTTGATATATTAAAACTTTTAATAAGCAAATGACGAACGATCAAATTTGAGTATAAACGTAGTATATAAAAGGCATCAGACCCGTTACAAAATTTTACCAAAATAAATCAGCATACGTGTGAGCTCGCTTTATTATATAAAAGGCGGCTATTTAAGTTTTTGAAACCAGAACTATGTCGGCATAGCACTATCCAAACTATCTCAAAATACAAAACTTTAAATTTCTTCAATACGAACTTGTTTCTTAGTTTCTAAAGTCAACAAATGGATATATTTTAAAATTCAGATGTTTAATGACAGTACAATGCAATAGCACTTCCACCGATGCGTTTTGTTCAAATGCTAAACAGTTCCCCTTTAGATGGAGATAACGTGTTTATGCATGATTTAATTTTAGCCTGGTTCCATGATATAAAATCTTGGTAAACTACAGGCAGTAATACTGTCCATTTTTCGGGTACGAAGAGAATTGTCTTCCATCAGTAAGAAATGATTTTTAATGAAGCCAGAAATTTAAAATTGGTCATGAAGTGTAAAGTTTATGCATGTGAGTGTTTTTATGTAATTGTATCTTTATTGACGACGTGCAAAAATAATCCAAAATCTGCTTTTAGATGCAATGTTTACATTACATAATTTATAAAATTCATGAATATATTTTTGATTCAGATAATTTAATTATTTCATTTGTTTAGAAAAAAACATTTATTGAAAAAAAGAAGCTAAAAAAATATTTCGAAGACGTATTATTATGCCACCGCAGCATCTGCGATGCGGTGGCATATAGCGATTCACCTGTGTGTGTGTGTGTGTGTGTGTGTGTGTGTGTGTGTGTGTGTGTGTGTGTGTGTGTTTGTGTGTTATATAGATTATATAGTGAACTTAAAAATCTTCTTGTGAAAAACCACTAGTCCAATTTCAACCAAACTTGGCAGGATTGATCCTTGGGTGAAGAGCTTCCAAAGATGTTCAAAGAATTTCATTCCATGCAGAAATTTGGTTGCCATGGCAACCAAAAGAATTATAAGAATAAATTTAAAAAATCTTCTTGTAAAGATCCAAAAGGCATAGAGCTTAGATATTTTGCATATGGCATTTATTTTCTGGTAGACCTCTACCAAGATTGTTCAAATTATAGCCCTGGGGTCAAAATTGGCCCCGCCCCGGGGTCATTGATTTTCACTATATGTACATATAGTAAAAACTTAAAATACCTTATTGTAAAGACCCAAATAGCCTAGAGCTTAGATATTTTGCATAAGGCATTGTCTGGTAGACCTCTACCAACATTGTTCAAATTATAGCCCTGGGGTCAAAATAGGCCCCGCCCCGGGTCATTGTTATATAGATTATATAGTGAACGTAAAAAATCTTCTTGTGAAAACCAATAGTCCAATTTCAACCAAACTTGGCAGGATTGATCCTTGGGTGAAGGGCTTCCAAAGTTGTTCAAAGAATTTCATTCCATGCAGAAATCTGGTTGCCATGGCAACCAAAAGGAATTATAAGAATAAATTTAAAAATCTTCTTGTAAAGACCCAAAAGGCCTAGAGCTTAGATATTTTGCATAAGGCATTGTCTGGTAGACCTCTACCAAGATTGTTCAAATTATAGCCCTGGGGTCAAAATCGGCCCTGCCCCGGGGTCATTGATTTTCACTATATGTACATATAGTAAAAACTTAAAATACCTTATTGTAAAGACCCAAATAGCCTAGAGCTTAGATATTTTGCATAAGGCATTGCCTGGTAGACCTCTACCAAGATTGTTCAAATTATATAGCCCTAGGGTCAAAATCGGCCCCGCCCGGGGGTCATTGATTTTCACTATATGTACATATAGTAAAAACTTTAAATACCTACTTGTAAAGACCCAAAAGGCCTAGAGCATAAGGCATTGTGTTGTAGACCTCTACCCAGATTGTTCAAATTATAGCCCTGGGGTCAAAATCGGCCCTGCCCCGGGGGTCATTGGTTTTCGTTATATGTATATAATAAAAACTTTAAAAAAATTTCTTCTAGCAATTGACAAATGCTAGAGGTTAGATATTTTGCATGAAACATTGTGTAGTGAACCTCTAGCAAGATTGTTCAAATTATAGCCCTGGGGTCATCTTATTGTCTGTAGGTACAAGGTACAAGGCTTCAAAAACTTAAAATACCTTCTTGTAAATGCCCAAAAGGCCTAGAGCTTAGGTATTAATGCGGTGGCATAGCATTTTTCTCAAATGCAATCTTGTATTTATAACTAAAATCAAATAAAAAGAATTATTTCTTTTTCGGTTTTGTTTCAATGATATACCGACACTGTAAAGGCCATATGTCGACTTTCTGACGGGGTTAAAACCAACAGTGGTTTTAAGTTGGCGACCTTAACCACTAAGCAAATGTTAACTCAGGCCCCGATGTTAAAGTTTACAATAGTGAAATAAAATGTAAGAATAAATTTGAATTAAATCATATACCGGCTTCTTCTTCGTAAGTGAAAAATGCTGCATCTTTTTCCATGTCTACCCAGCTGTCAATTATTTTGGAGTTTCCTCCCGATTTTCTGTTTTTGAAATAAAGCTCCAGTTTATCCATGTACTGTTGAATATCATCTGGCCCTTGTACAGATATTGTGCACATTTTCATCGGTTTCCATTGCTCAATTATCAATTCGGTACCTTTTATGTTTAAAGGCTTTTTGTCCATAACTATTTGTACCGCTAGATAGGATATGTGAATTGTTAAAAATTCATTTAAGTAAAAAGTTTCATTAAAAGCCGCAAGATTTTTAGCAAAACAATATACAAGCGATTGAAGGGATACTTTATTTAATATTACTTTTTTATTAGTACAAACTCTTTAATTATTTGATAAGCGATTTTATAAAACAAAACGATTCAATGTGATGAAAATAAATTTGATATTAGATAACTATAATAATATTGATGAAAACATATGTAGACAATAGAGAAACAAATTGTTTGGGTCAAAGTTAATTGTAAATGGTATAACCACACATACAGTTACACATGTACCAGTTTGAAGACTTCATCACAATACAACAAAGAATTATGTCGTTGCAAAGCATTTTTATTTTTGAAAATGATATACCTTTTAAAGTTGAAAATTCAATAGTAGCTCTTCTACTTTTATCACAAAGTGATAATTCTTTCACTTCTATGTCATCATCTAGATTTTCAAAGAAATATATCAAGTACTCCTTGTCAATTTCTTTTGGGATTCCTAGGACATTTATTGTGTTGAGAGACTTATCTGCTGATGGATGTAGACCCTGTTTGTCAACTTTATTCATTTCTCTCAAATTAACGTCAAGTGGGTGATTTTTAAACGTATGTTTTCGATCTACAACTCTTCTGGCAACTGTTAAACAGTAAACAATAGTTTTTTATTCATGTAATATTTTTAAACATGACAATTCATTCGAGATGCTTTCAGCTTTCACACTATCATTACGAATAACATATTATTAAAGTAGCTAAAGTAATACTTTAAACATTTCAAATGTATTTTTGTTTGGCAATATTGACCTGAGACATTTGAATGTTCAATGGCCTTTTGTCGGTATTAAGCCGACTTCGAAGTAAATCATATGGATTTACAATATGGCATAACAGTATGCATGCTTTATGCATAACTGAAAGATCCTGTAACTCATTTGTTTATGGTTAATATCATAAATATGATGTTCAAATGCAGATCTATCATTATTATTAGTTATTATTAGTTCTAAAGAGCATTATTTGTAAAATTATTGCCGAATTTACATATCATGTAGATAAAGGGAGGTAATTAGAAATTTATTTTCGATAAATTCTAAACCTAATTCTTCAGTAAGAAATGAATGCATATATCTTACTGATTACTTATAATGCGAATAAATTTTGCAGTACATATTTAACATATTCTTGGATGTTTGAAAATTGTTTAAGAATAATAATTATAAACATATATAAAATTTCCCTAAAGTGTTGTTACTTCCTTAATTACAACACTTAAATGACTTAAAAGATAAAACCACAACACTTGTCTCACTAGCCTCAGTTACAAGGAAGTAAAACGATTGTTATTTCCACTTATGCTGCATATTATTGAAAACAAAATAGTTTAGACATCGGAAACGAATCGAGCATTCGAACTTGCAACTTCCCAGTTTGAAGGTATAAACCCTATATACATCAAATACATAAAAAATAAAGAAAAAGACATCAGAAACAAAACAAATGTTGTTTCTTCACTTATGCTTAATCGAGGATTCGAAATTGCAACTTCGCGATTGCAATCCAACATTACTTACAACAAGAACATCGAGTCGTAATTATGCATAACTATATACTATCATTACAATCCATAGATTAATTGTAATAAATTACCAAAACTAACGAAAAAAATTTCGAAACTTAAATCAGTCTCTGGTAAATATTTCCAAACAATACAACTTAGATTTTAAATAAACACTTGTTTGATCAATTATAAATACCTTCTTCGCTCACATAAGTGAAACATGCCAATCCAGGACATATGGAAGAATCAATAATTTCACTACCACCTGAAAACCGCTGGCTTTCAAAATATTTTTTCAACATTTTGATGTTTGTGTCTGAGACGATATGTTGTGGCCCATGAACTTCTATACCATTCCGTATTGGCTTGCACACTTTTTCAGGTAGATAGGTTTGTATTTTTATTTCACGATCTTCCATTTTTAAAGACGGTCCATTCAGTACCTTTATTGCAGCTTTGACAATTAAAAAAGATAATTCCTTGCTTAGGATATATTGCTTACAACTGAAGTTGAATACATTTAGTAACAAAACTTGAAATGTAGAATATAAAACACCAAAATCAACGCGTAAAAATACATAAAATAAAGAGAAATAAATAACCCTGAAAGAACACAAAGAACGCAAAAAACGACAAATTGAAAATGTTGCCGGCTCGGTTTCATTGGGCTGTTCATGAACGGTATAGTAAAGTGCAAGTTAGCGTTCACGCCTCCTATCACCGGCTTAAGCAGTATTCAACATTTGACATAAAATGGTGAAATTTGGAATTTTGAAACATCCGCAGATAACTTTATACGGCGGTTATCATGGAACCTTCAAAGTGATACGGAAGTGACATTCCATTAAAAACGGCGTATGATTCCCAAGTAAAACAATGCGTGTGCCCTAAACGAAAAAACAAGGGGCGGGACTAAATAAAATGGAATTTTAAAATCATTATGGATTTATTTTCCTGAACAACTCTAGATATTATGCAATGGTATGTGTAGCTGAATAAGGCAAATAAGTACATAAATTTCTTACAGAATAGTAGGTTTGTGTGAATTGTAAACTGACAAACCAAAGGGTACATAATTAAACATAGATAGGAAAATACTTCATCAAGGGTAATTTCATATTAACATACGCAGCATGTCTAAGTTGACACACCAGGCATGTCTTTCTACGTTTAGACCTGTCCTTTGCCGAGTTTGTCGTGACTTCAAATCACGTGCCCCTCACCACTGTGAGTTCGAATCCCGCAAGGGACTTTGATTCACGATCATGTGAGGAAGTTATCCGGGTAGCTTATGAAAGGTAGGTGGTCAGGTACCCTCTCTAGCATGGAAAAAACACCTTTCATCATCCTCTTCCAGTATAGCTGGAAAGTCCGTTTCTGCGTCAGAGTGTCTAAAACCCCAACGAAACGAAACAAAATTATTTCGTAAAAATACATTAAATGGAACAAAAATGGTAAATAATTTCACGCAACCTTGCAAATAAGATATTATGTGAAGATACTATAAGTTAAGGAAAATGTTACAAGTGAAGCAAAAATTCTTAAATGAATTCTTACCGTCTTTGTCTTTAAACTCCACAATAGCAGAAGAATGATCGTCATTAAATGTTACCAACAATACCTCTAAACCTTCGCCAAATATTTCTTCATCGTCAAAAAAGAGTTCTATATACTGGGCGTCAATCGATTCTGGTAGATTTGATAAAACTATTGAAGTCTGTTCGTGCTCACTTTCAACGATTTTGTCTATTGGTGGGTTGTACAATTTTACCGTCAATTCAACACCACTTAAACGATGGCTTTCTTTTTCAACAACTCTTTGAGCAACTGAAAACATTCAAAATTAATTACGATAATCAATCCAGACATGGTTGAAAAATATCTAGCGGGGTTTTCTATATAAAACTGAACAATACATACATGCAGATGTATATGTAAACAAAGAAGGAACCATTTACATTTATACTTTTCTGCTACTTATGTGCAATAAAATTACTTTGATTCAAAATTATGAAACATTCTTCTTATACTTGTACTTAAGTTATTCACAATACCTTCTTCAGTTTCGAATTGAATTAAAGCCTTATTTGACTCAAATTTTATTTCAGAAATCTTTCCTCCCTCCGATTTTCTCGAATTTTTGAAGTACATCGATAAAAGTGATTTGTTTCTTTCGGATATGATACTGGAATTTGGTGGTCCTGTGACTTCAATGGTGTGCAGATGAACGGATGTTGGCTCTTCATTGCAAACACTTGTATACTCTTCAACCGACACCATTGTACCGTCCATATCTAGTGGCGCCATTTCCTTGATTTTCTCTAAATCTATAGAAATTCTTTATTAAATGTTAAAGATCAACGATCTCTGAAAGGAATATTTATACAAACAAAAGTGTGATGAGAACGCTCAATGTAGTTGACATATGGGTTACAAAATAATATCTAAATTGACCCAAAACTCATAATATACTCAATAATTCAGATACACATTTAGCTAAATGATTTGCAAATCCAAAAAACGATTAAGAATTATTATACTTTTTGATAGCGTACTCTATGACAATAACTATAAATTAACTGATGATTGAAGAAGCATCTTAAAATTTTATTGACAATATCATACAATAGATTTATTTAAATATTCATTTTTTATTTTTATTTTATTTATTTCTCTATTCATGTCTATCATATGGATTTTCGTACCTAAATAGTTTAGTACTGTCAACTTATCTCCAAATATTTTTCCAACAATCATTCAAACACATCCATTTTGTAGCAGTTTAATGTTCTAATTTTCAGAAACATTAAGATACACCATGTCCGGCCTTAAATGGTTTGTTTTGTTGGGGTTTTTTTTGTAAATAATGCGGGGATCTATTGTACTTCTTCTCAGTTCAATGAGTGTATCATAACTAACGATGACACCCTATGCTGAAGTAGTTATAAAACAAGCCATTTAAGTCTTGTATATCCACAAAAAAAACTAATAGCAAAGATTGCTCCACGAAAGAAAAACTAATAGCAAAGATTGCTTTGCTAGCTGCTACAAGTGCCAAGATAGTTTATGTGTTTGATGCCCTTCATACTTTACAGTATCTGTTGGACTTAATGTCACCATGATATACAACGAGATGCGCAAACTCTACACATTTCTTATTATTGTCTCTACAACATCAGTGAAATGATCTAGATTCATTATTGTATTTTTACTGTAAATTTAAATCAAATATTTCATTCAGCTAACAACAAATCACAATGATAAACGATATTTAAGATTTGTCTTACCTTCCTTGCTTTCTAGATAAATAAGAGCTGATGTTTCGTTTGTTTCAAGGGACACTTTACATATTTTACAATCTCCGAACAGGTCATCGTCATTGAAATACAAATCTAAGTATTGTTGATTTGTATCTGCTGGCAGCCCTCGTATTCTTAATGTGAACGGTGTTTCATTTGTGCCTGAGACATCTAAAATAATTTATTATTTGAAGTTGACTATAACTGAGTTTAAAAAATACACTTTTAATTGATCATATAGTCCGATTACAGAAGAGGGTCTAAGATAATGTAGTAGCGTTTTGGTTTAAACAGATTTTTTACTATTTTTAAGTAGAGCTATGTGGAACATGCTGTTCATTCACATGAGCGCATTACCATAAATAATTGATATCATCAAAAGGGAACAATAATTTACAAGCTGTGGCGTCCCATGTTTTAGCAGGTTTTGCTATTTTCTGTCTTGGTCATCTGGGAAGGTTTGCATTTCTCAAAGGTTAGGAACAAGAAATATCTCTAGAAAAATTACTCGGCCGAAGTAAAACTGGTTAACTTGCATGTGTTAGTTGGAACACTTTTAGATGTGTGTGTTTCTAAACAAACTAATAAACTCAGTTTTTTCCACCAACATTTGCGAGGTCGGTTAGGCAATTATTTCTATAAATACATAATATGCAAAACTTTATTAAAATTATAAACATTTATCAATTGAACATATCAGTAATCATAAAATATGTAAGACACTTACTGAACATCATAAACTAAGGGTACCTGATAAGTTCCAATATTATTATCCTTATATTGGACGAAATTTAAAACTCAAGTCTTGTGTAAAATAAAATCCATAAGTTCTTGCGTAAAATAAACAAGCTGCCCACTATAAAATGTATTGTAAACAGAATCTAAATATCTGAGTAATTTAACTAGAAAGTTAAAGAACTATCTTGTACATTTTATTTTAAAATTTTCCTTTTACATTTTCGTTTAGAACTACTTTAGAATGACAAGAACTATTCTTTACATTTTACTTTAGAATGGCCAATGAGATTCCAAGATTTCATGTTATTTTAAAATGACCAATAAAAATTCTTCTTGTATTCAGTTTTTCCCTGTAAATTTTACAGAAAATGAAACTGAAAAACAGAGCGGCCTTCGGCCGGACAAAAAGATTCAAATAATGTAAATTTAATTGATTGGAAAATATTTAATACATAGTAAGCGCTATCTCTTAAAAAAAAAGAACATTTGAGCTGTTCACTGGAAAGAACTCGTACCTGTCTCCCAACTGAAAACGGCCGTTGCATGATAAACAGCCTAGTTGTTCTTATTCCTATATATATCTATATACACAAATGTACATTTTTGTAATTACTCGTATATATAATTTTCAAACTATTAAAAAACATTTGCAATTTTCTACTGAGACACTTATAAGTTTCTTCAAGTGTAGTGTAGTGTACGAGGTATGATCAAAAAGTTCTCGGCCCGAATTACTTGAAGCCACTTCACTCACATTTGCACACGATACGTCGATACCGATTTTCAAGATTACTGATCGAGTTACACGCGGTTTTACTCACATAAAGTAACATAAAACACAATTTGATCAGAAGAAGGGTGTTTCATTTAGAACAAATTGAGAAAGTTGAAATCAGAGCCGTCATTAAGTACCTCTGTAAGAAAAGTGATGTCACCCAAGGAATCCATTCCCGCTCCTATAGCACTGTGAAAAAATTGGCTGGTGAATTTAAGAAGGGCAGGGAGAGCATTGGAGATGATGAGCGGCCTGGGCGGCCACATGAGGCCACCAACGATGAAACTGCCGAAACTGTGCACGATCTGGTCATGTGCGACAGAAGGCGAGACCTGCAAAGCGTTGCTTGGAAAGTGGGTATAAGCTTTGGTTCAGTTCAGGCAATTCTGACTGATGTCTATGGCGTGTCAGAGGTTTACGCTAGATGAGTCCTCAGATAGTTGACTGACGATCAGAAACGGACCAGGCTTGACATTTCAAGATATCTTTTGTCTCGCTACGAGGATGAACCTGACTTTATCTACCGGATCGTAACTCAGGATGAAACATGGGTCCATCACTTCTATCCAGAATAAAAAAGCATGCAGTGGAAGCATCCTGGCGCACCCCCACCGAAGAAATTCAAGAGGGTGCCATCAGCAGGGAAGATCATGGCTTCATTTTTTTAGGATAGTCAGGGGATAATCATGATTGATTTCCTTAAGCAAGGTCGTACCATAAACGGTACGTATTATGCAGACGAAATGAGACGTCTGCGTCAAGTAATCGCGTGTAAAAGAAGGAAGGGGTAAACTGACTCAAGGCGTTCTGCTCCTGCACGACAATGCGCCAGCTTACACATCCCACACATTGCGATGGCTGCTGCAACTGACTGCAACTTTTACATTCGTCCCTATCACTCATATTATCCGGACTTGCCCCCCCCCCCCTCTGACTTCTTCCCTTTTCCGAAACTGAAAAACCAAGCTTCGTGGTTGACGTTTTGGAAGCAATGAAGGTATCATGGAGGCGGTCAATGAGTTCTTTGAAGACCAAAATAGAGGGTTCTACTTTTTTAGGGTTAAAGTAGTTGGAGCACAGGTGGGCAAAGTGCATTGATGTAGAGGGCGATTATATTGAAAATTAATGCCATTAGTTGGGTTCTCTGACTATCGAAAGTACATCGGGCCAAGAACTTTGTGATCAATCCTCATATGTTATCTTGAATATGACTAGTTTTATTAAGTATACAAATGCATATTCTAAGACTAAAAATACTTCATTCGTTATACATGTTTAGATTCTACTTATAATGAAGTATATTTTACTAATACATTCTCAGAATGACTATTGATGATGTTCATCTACTTAAAACTGCAAATATATATTTTTCAGTAAACACCATAATAGTTTTTAGATTACAGTAAACATGTTTTAATTTTGATATTGTCAAAATATCAATCACGAACATTTATTTTTAGGTATATCATCCTCCAATAAAATGGAGATCTAAATCTAAAACATTTCAAATAAACTCTTTATTATATTGTATCTAACAAATTATTCATTTAAGCACCTGTGAAAAGCAAACAATCACTTAGTATATATACTATTTTAAGTTTATTACATATAAATGGAATAACTGTGGAAAAATGGTTAGTACAAATCATAAGGATTGCTGCCCTTTAGTTTAAATGACGTCAGTTAAAAAAATTCTACCAATTATTTTTTTAAACCAAGGGAGGTAATTCATAGGATAAAATAGTATTCATAGGATAAGTTTCAGGTTTGGGTATATACGAGTAGATCTATCTTGTCTTATGAATTAGCATAGTTGGGGTTGATAAAAATTTCTAATGCAGTCATTTTACATATCTGTTTAATACATTGTATATTGTAGTCACGACGATGATAAAAAGTATTTGATTACCGTTCGCCTCATGAAAGAAATATGAACTAATATTTACAAACATTTTCACTATGAAGAAATAAGATACACATAAAATTGATGATTTTTTTAAGAAGAGCAACTTCTATTTAATTTGTCACTTTTACTTGTTTTACGTTTGAATTTATAAATTTTGTAACCATGTAATCATTTACAAATCTAACTAAAAATAAAACAAATATTCTCATTCCTTTAAATTTTATTTTAGAAATATGCTCTACATTTTATTTTATGGTGGCAAAACTATCCCTTACATTTCATCATAAATAATCCAATTTTATTTTAATATACTCTTGGTCATACTTATAACAAAATTTTCTGTCTCATGCTCGTAAAAGAAATTTGCTACTATCTAATTATCACATCAAATGCATCCTAAGGCATTGGTCATTAACGTATTATTTTTATTTCGACATGACTGTTTGGTTTCTTAAATTATATGAGTGGCAATGACTTATAACAACAGTAAATTTTGTGCCGTTGGTAATATCCATCAACCATTCTTGTCTTTTTCGTTTTCGGGACAAAGACTGGTTTTTCTTTAAATGGATAAACTTGAAAACTTTACATAACAATATATATATATATGCTTGTAATATTGTAATAGTCACCGTATTATTTTGTATAATATCTCTTGTTGTTAACCTAATTTATTAGTGTTAAGAAATTATTGTACATGATGTATCTTTGTATATAATGTATGTTCTGCTCTTCATAACTGGAGGAAATAAAGAATCTATCTATCTATCTATCCATAAAATTTTATTTTAGAATGGTAAGAACTATCCTTTACATTAATTTTAGAATTGTTAGAATTGTCCTTTACATATTTTTTTAGAATGACCAAAGAGATTCACCAATTTCGGTTTGTGATTGTAAAATGACCAATAAAATTCGTCTTATATTCTGTCCTTTTTATTTTACAGGAAGTCAAACTTATAACAGACGGACTTCGTCCGAAAAACTTGCTCTATTTCGTTTCACAGTATTTGTCAATAATTAATATACAGTATAATACAGATTCCAACGGTACATAACTTGCCAATAAATAAGTGTCATTAATAATTCCCGTTGTGTTTGAAAAAACACTTACATACACTGACAATAATATACAATATATTGTGAAAATCAAATGATCCGATTATTTCAGGGTATATTGTCCTTAGTACGTATAGAATATTGCGAAGACCATATTAACAAATTGAATACTTCAAAATATGGGAAACATATTCAAACATTCTGCAATGTAAATCAGTTAAGGGGGTAAATTTTCTAAAAGCGCCTAAATATTTAACTGAAAAATGTTGCCGTTTTACCCAATAGGCAATAGACAACTCGTTCATTTAATCGTTTATTAATTTTACTTTAACTTTCAATGGCATATAAGCCGATTGTATTGTGAATTCACTTGGAAAGTCAGTACCTCTTATTTTGATACCAACCTGCCTTTTTTTCAGCTCTTGAACCATCGTGTTGACTCTCATATTCATCCAAACCGAGGTTATCATTCTGAAAATGATACAAAAAAGTATCGCATATAAATAAACACAATCTAATTATGTATTTTAATGTGTTATATTTCAAATATATATATGAAAGAATAGTCAAATGAAGGTGAGTTCTAAATTAAGAATCTATTTTATTGCTTACCAGTTGGAAAAGCCATTCTTTTGGTACTGAAGTCTCCGTCGCCCTTTCAAAGCTGATGTTTTCAAATTCCCCTTCATGTTCTTCGTTGACTAAATCGTCAACAGCTACAATGGTGAAAAGATGTGAATTTATTTTAATTATTTTAATTATATTTAAAACTTTAGAGGTAACATAACGTGTGTGGTGTGTGTGTGTTGTGTGTGTGGTGTGTGTGTGTGTGTGTGTGTGTGTGTGTGTGTGTGCGCGCGCGCGCGTACGCGTGTGTGCGAACAAGGGAGGTGAATGTACAATGTGGTTATAATGATCAAGGAATGTTTTGATCAATATTTTCAAAAGTACAATAAAACTGATTATGACAGAATTATTAAGTTGTAATGTCTCCTTTGAATTGGATTTTACTTGCTGACAAAAAGCAAGTCAATATATTATATCCGCCTTTTTTCTCAAAGGAATGGTTTGAAAGTATTTTGAAATGTTCATGAACTCCAAATCCTTGAAATGAAAGCATTAAAATCATTAACATTATCTGGCATATCATTTGTAAATAATAGTGGCCATTTAACTAATTTTCCAAAGCAATACAATTTAAACACTTTGTATGCAGTCACAGAAAAGATGTTACAATAATTAATCTTAATGGTTTCGCTGGAAGTTTGTTGCTAACTTATCTAAAGTAATCGTTTCCCGAATCATGTCATATAATGGTCAGTTATCATTGGTCATTGTGTCTTGATTTTAATATACTTAATTTCCCTTTTGTCCTGCAACAATGTTTATCACATTATTCTATTTTGTGTCTATTTTCCTTTTTTTAGAATAAGGACTTTTCGTCGAAATTAAAATGTTATATATATTTGTTTATTTGGGTCTCATCTATGTACATATAACATATTACAAACATAAAATATCATAAGACATGTACACAGCCATTCTATATAAGAATTACAAGAGACAAGAAAATCATTCACACATAAAAGAAATCTACTTGCTACTAAAATCAAGTTACAAAAGTGGCTAAAAGTAAAAAATGTTTTTGTTGTTTTTTTTTTTTTGTTTTTTTTTTTTCAGAGTACCTGTAAAAATAAATTTATATATATTGTAAAAAATGAAGCTTGTAAAAATACTAATTACTAAAACCCCATATCAAACAGTTAAAATTTTGTACTTATGATGTATTTATCCTAATTACAAGATGATTAAAATTCTTTAAAATAATAAATTCCAGTTAGCTTATAAACATCTTTAAATTGTACTTGTATTAACAAATAAAACCATTAAAAACTTGTTAGAGTTGTGCTATTTTATAGTTAAACAATAGTGGTGGTGTTACAAATTTAATTAGTATTTCTTACTATATATATCAAGTTGTTTTCTATATTTAAGAGAATCTCACAGCAGGTTTTTTGCGACAGCAATTTTATCCTATGAGTGTCCTGGTGGGGCAAATAAGTACATAAACTTTTTCATGTTTTGACATTGTAGTAAATAAGTCACAAGTATAGTTGGCATAATCTAACAATGGTTTCCTGAAGTTGTCATACATAGAACAATTCCATTATTACATGCATTTCATTTTCAAATACCATTTAGACAAAGTGAATATCCTTTCATGTTCAGGTAAGTGTTCATATCGACCAGTTTCAAGACGGATAGGTGCAACTCCGCAACGGAATTTAGACAAAGCTGACCTGTTAGAAACAGGAATTAATAAACGACACAATATTTCTCTGTCACATACTCTTTTTGAAAAATGCCTGGTATTACGAAGTTTATTTCTCCCGGGGAACCATTGCTACTGTTTTCCCTGGAAATATCCGCTGTCCACTGAGCGATATGAACATCAACCAAAGCTTTAGTTAAATCATCAACCATACTTTTGCGATTAAACGGAAATGAACACATTGATAAACATCAAGTCCGAATGACAATAAAAAGTTTTCAACAATATAGCACCAGTTTTTTACAAATTTTTCCCTTTTTGTTAAAAGCCCAGTTGAAAATTTTCTTATTCATTCTACTTTCTCTAAGACAAAGAGTTTCTGTGCCAGTGGTTAACCCACTGCTTTCCATTGCTCAACAATAATTGGATTCCAACCTGTTTCACCATATACAGCAGCATTTGGTGTGTATTTACCGTGCCTAGGAAATACCTCATAGCTCTGTTATGAATACTATTAATTTACAACTATATAATAGATTTTGTACCCCAAAATAGAAGCTCCATATGTTATACAGGTACAACACATGTATAATACAATTTCGTATAAACATTAAAATGCAAACCCCACTGAATTTTTAAATTTTGCCTATAAGGAGACCCAATAGCGCGACTGCACTTTGAGCTACATGTTTAGCAGTGATATTGTAATCCAAATATTCGTTGCAACAATAGACCTAATACATGTATTGGTTAACAGTTTTCTAACGCAGACTCACCACATGTGTAAATTTGAATTTGATATTGGAATAGAAGAGTTTTTTT